ATAGCCGTAAACAAAAAGGTTTGGGAAACCACTCCCCCGAAGAAATGAAAAACAACCCCGACTTAGAGAAAGACTATATATTTAATAGTTTAGTCAAAAGAGACAAACAAGAAAGAATGCCAGGCTTCAAACTTAAGAAAGGTGACAAAGTAAAAATAGAAATACCTAAACGCGACCCATATGAAAATACTATTGACTATGACAACAATGGGAACTCGACAGGTACTCGCATTCGTGTTCGTAAAAATAGAAGAAAGTATACAAGAGAATATTATGAAGTTTTAGGCAAACATGGCAAAAATGTACAGACTGCAAGCAGAAGATAAAACTACTATTGTCAGACCTCGTTTCAAACTTGTTAAGGTTCAAGGTGGTATACTTTCAAAGACAGTTCCTAACAAATATAAGACAACTCCTGACGAATATGCTAAAGAAGTTGAAAATGACGACTAAGCATTTCTATACCATGCGTAAACTGTCATGTAAGGTGGCATGTAGTCTTTACTTTGTCCGTTGTTTGCGTATACCCTGAAACGCGATGTGTATGGCTTCCTCCTACCTCAGTGTTACTCCAGTAACAATTTATAGCAAACTTAACGTCCTCTTTAACATCATATCCTTTACCTTTTGTCATTCCTGACCAATCCCAAAATCTATGACTATGCAAACCTGCTTCAGATGTACTTAAATTTATGTAGTGACTGTGCGCAGGTAAATTTGCACCTGAAATCGTTTTACTTCCACCTGTTTCCTTTGAAGAGTTTGCACAATACAAAAACCTGTCGACTATTTGAGTCCAAGTTCCAAAACCAAGTACTACTTCTGGTCTGGTAGAGTTCATTGACGTGTAAATAGAACCTATAGGATATACTGTTTGAAGTATTTCTGTCTTTAACGTTTGAAGCTCTGTTTTGTCAGCTTTTTTATCATATAAATCTTGAGCAGTGAATTTAACTTTGTTTTCATCCTCCATGACATAAACGTTTCTACATCTAATGTCTTTATCCGATGTTAAACCTTCTGGAAAGTTAGGAGGTTTAAAATATAATCCACCCCCACCAGTTTCTTCAATCGTTCCTAAAATACTTTCTATACCAACAGTTGAGAAGAAGCTATGTGTATGTCCAACGTCACTTTTCTTGTTTAAGGTTTCTTGTAAGTTTGTAATATTTGCAATGGTATGTGTATGGTTCTTGTCAGCTTTGCCATCTAACTTTTCTTGTAAGTTTGTAATATTTGCAATGGTATGTGTATGGTTCTTATCCGCTTTAAGGTCTAAACATCCTGAAACCCACCCTGTATCAGCTTTACCTTTTAAAATCTTCGATGTCCGTTCATGGTACCATTCAACCATTTTTTTAATTTCTTCATCTTTTTCATCCACATATTCCTTATCTGCCTTCTTATCTAATGCACTAGCCACACATGCTAACTCATCGTTAACATATGTTTTATCCGCTTTGTTGTCAACATCTGCTTTTGTTGCATATGTTGCATCTGCTCTGTCATGTTCTTCTTGAACTTTTTCAATGACATACTCTTTGTCAGCTTTGTTGTCAACATCTGCCTTCAAAAGAAGTTCATCTATAGGTTTCTCGTTTAAAGTTCCTTTTGTTGGATTTATACAAACAGTATGGTTCTTACTGTCTTGAAATAGAAACTCGTCTGTCAATGGGTTTAATGTCAGTTTTAAGTTTCCTTCTTTCAATGACTCAGATATCTTAGAATAGTTTGAAAAGTTTGTTGTGTTCTTATTTAGAGCTTGCAAAATGAGTTGTCGGTTGTGTTTTATTTCTCTCATAGACGCTGTTTCTTTCGACATTTTTATTCTAGATAAAATATGCTTTCAATAGAAAAAGAAAATTCAAGAGTTGCTACAACTAAACCATTAGATGAACTTTTTACGAATGTCGGTCAAAAGTTTGAGACAGAGACCGTAAAGCATGAAGGCTATCGTTTTGACTACCCCTTAAGATGGTTAAGAGACCCATCCGTCACAAAAGCTATTGGCTTTCGTAGAATGAAATTCATTTCAGAAGCCATACATGGTTTCCCATTTACGGTCGCTTTTGAAGTTCGATACTATAACAAAGAAAAACGTACGTATGAGAAATTTGAACAGGGAAAACTTTTACAAGTTAGTTTGCTTGTAAACTTAGAAACAACTCTTCAAGCTTTTCAAGAAAAAATAAACGATATCTATCTCGAATATGCAAAACAGTACAACATTGACGAAGGAGAGTACCATCTCGATATTATATATGACAGGAAAAATGCAACTGTTAAAATCAATAGAATAGAAGACCTTGGAGAAGACGTTTATATTTCTACAAAATATAACAACTTGGCATGGTATAGGTTTTTGAGGATGTTAAATCAGCCTGCAGAATATCCAGTACACCCGAACTTTTATGAAGTCGAAAACCCTAATGGAACATATGAAAATGTTTTCGACCAAGATGCTATTATAGTTCATGCTTCATTTTCTGGCGCACAAAACTCTTTTTTATGCTTGGCAAATGACTTTTACGAAAAACCTACAAAGCTATATGAACCACCGAGTGGAAGTATTTCAGACTTTCAAGTATGGTTTACTACAGATGGAAGAAAGAGAATAGTTCCATTATACCATGCGTTTTACTTAGAACTTAGTCTCATATACAACTACTATCGAACGGTAAAAATATAATTTTAATACGGTTGAGGTGTTGGATTTGGTTGCCAACTAGACTGTGGTGCAGGTTCAGGCTGTTGTATAACAGGAGCTTGTTCTTCTGGTTCAGGGTCTTTAGGTATAATACCAACGAACTGACCTACTCTTTTACCAATATTTTTGACTCCGTTCCAAATTCCTCTTCCGACAGATTTTATTCCATTCCATATACCTCTTCCAACATTTCGAAAGAAGTTTCCTATTCTTCCAAAGAAACCCATTTTACTATATGTAAAAATCTAATGTCCGCCTAGTCTCTTACGTTTCCTGTTGAGTTCCATAGCATTTTTTAACTGGAGCTCATACATTCTATTTCTCCTCTGGTAGAAAACATATTCTGGGTCAACTCCTGTGTTTGCGTCATCTGCATAGAGTTGTTTATATCCCACTTCAGGGTTTGTATAAAACTCTTTCCATCTCATATTTGCATACCATGGTGGTAAGCCTAACGCAGCGTCATTTGACATGGCAGTTTGCATTTGTACATCTGTTGGCACTTGACCATAGTTTGCCATTGCAGTTTGTATTCTAACTTCATTTGGAATATTCTCTGGGTTTGGTTGTCCAGGTTGCTGTGCATTCGCTAAGTTCTGTGCGTCCATTTAATATTAGATAAAAATATCTCTTACGAGTACATATGCTGAACATTTGCTGGTATTGGTTCATCTTCATATTCTCTATATCTTTCTGCCACGTCAAATAAGTAAATGACACAATGGAAAAAACCTAAAACAAGTAGTCCTATTTCAAACCACATTTAGTTACTAGTAAAATTTCTTTGTTATGACACTTTTTCCGGTTTATAGGACCTCTCTCATATTCTATCTTATCGTATCTAAAATCATAGTCATGTATATCCTCTAACCATCTCATAACACTTTCCAAACCACTTTTATCGGATGTAAAGTAAAAGCATGGATGGTTATGTAAAACGTCTAAAGTTTCTAAAGAGTCTCTCAAAGTCCAGTCTACTTGGTATTGAAAATCGTATGTGTTATAGAACGGTGGGTCTACTATAAAGAAAACATTTTCCTTGTCTTTGTATTTTTCATACAACTCTGTCCAATGACATCTCACAAACTCTATACCCTCAGTATATTTTTCTATGTTCTCTTTGAAAACCTTTGTATAGTTAAGATATAAAACTTTTGACATAAGTGTTTCAATGTCATGAACTCTTATAGCACCACTATATAATAGTCTAGAAGATATACTATCCCAGTCAATATACTCTGCTTTTTTCAAAACCTCTCTGACAATATTTTTCTTATCTAATGGTATACGTTCCATCTTACCTATAGGTATCTTTTCTTTTAACTCTTTCAATATTTTGTTTGTGTCTGGTATATGTTTGAGACGGTTCATATAGTTGTCGAAGTCATTGCATATAATCTTTGAGTCAGGAAATACAGTATGGCACAAATGGGATATATAGAAACTTCCACCGAACAAATCTACAAATGTTAGACCATTCGGTAGTTTCTTAAGTTCTCTCAATAGAATATCTTTACATCTACTCTTATTTCCAAAGAAGGGTAACGGTGGTTTTGTAAAATTCATTTTATATACAATAAAAATGTTTTTACCCTGAAAAGTGACAGAAAAGTGACAAAACATGAAAACTACTCGGTTAAGGTCTTGTCGGTTTTGTCAAATAACCGTCCTATCTTGTTAAGACTTCCTGGACTGTTGTCAAAATGTCATGTTGTCTCATTTTTTCAGAGAAGTTCGTTTAACCGAGGGACCGAGGGACCGAGGGACCTGGTGTTATACTAAACATCTTCAGGGGGCTAGAGGGGCGCAGCCCTGGAAGCCCCAATACCTTTTTTTTTTTTTTTTTTTTTTTTTTAATCATCGAAATAAACATCTACTTGTTTAACATTTTCAAGAATTGGTGAAAGAGCATCCATTAATTGATTGACGGTTACGAATCTTGATCCACTCATTTTCTTACGAATTAAAAAAATAAATTATTCATAAATGTCAGAAGAAAATATTTAAATAAATTATTTAAATTTTTTACTCTATTCAAGAATTTTATTTTTGATATAACTCATTGAATTCAAAATTTTTTAAAAAAATTGACACCATATTTGGAATCTATGCAAAAATATATTCTTTAATTAATGGTAATATAGGAATTGTAGGAATAAAAATTTTTTATAAATTATTCATAAATTTTTAAAATCTGCTATTCAGAAGTATGTTCAAAAATCATTCAATTATGTGAGAATTCTTACGATTACAAAAAAGGTCACACAACCCGTACTCATATACTACTTTAAATTTATGGCAAAAAGCGAATAATATCATTATCAAAGGATATGTATTCGCGCTTGACAGCATTATTTATAGAATTAATAATCTCTTCTTCTGTCAATTCTGAAATAAATTGTTTTAATTGTTCCTCTAAATCGTGCTTCGGAACTTCTTTTGTCTTTTTAGCGATCAACACTATGCGGGCTATTATTCTATCTTTTCTATTCTGCTGAGCTTCGTAAGAATTTTCTTCTTTGTGGAAATCAGGAATTCTATACTTTGGAAGTGGTAGGATGAAGTTCCCTTCTGTTGAAATCATATTATTTTCATCCAAAATCTTGGCAGCAACCAGCTGTTCTTTGATATCTTTTGGAATTTTGTCATTTCCTTCAGAAATCTTCATCAAAGCGCACAGATGGGTCAATGAACCACTTATTTTCGCATTTCCATACTCAAAATCAACAGTTTCCAAAGGAGAAACCCAGGAAATTTTCTTATTTTCTTCATGGAACTGATTTTCGAACTCCTTTCTGAGCACTTCTATTTGTCTTGGCACCTCTGGAAAGATTTCTTGGTACTCTGGCCACGTATCGTATTTTATCAAAGTCACAAAACCGGGAATTGAGAGTTTTATGTCCATACTTCTGCTGTATTTCACATCAGATATCATTTGGAATGTTGATTTAATGCCATCGCTGCCTATAATTTCTTCAATCGCTTTTCCAAAAATTTCTTCGTTTGAAATGTGAGAATAGTTCGGAGATAATAGTCTATTAACCAAGTATGACCGATTTTCTAGAACAAATTCGTCTATCGAAGACAGTTGCCTAAAGAAAAGAATATAATCAGATAAATGTTGAGGAAAATCGTCTTCTTGGATCTTCTGGTTGATAAACTCTGCATACATTAACTGTAGCTTCCTGTATTTACTCCTCATTTCTGTGCAAAAAGCTTTAAATGCGTCGTTTATTGTTTCATTTTCAATTCCTTCTTTCAAATCTCTGAAAACGAGTAATTTCCCGAATATGTCCGAAATTATTGCCACATTAGTCCCCTTTTTCACCTGAGAAACGCAGTTCTTTGCAAATTTTTTGAATTCATCTGTAAAAAGTTCCTTCATTTCAGGGGAATAATCGCACAGCTTGGATACTTTCACTATTGAGTCGTATTTCTTCGAAAAAACTAAGTCAGAAATGATATTTTGCAAATACATGTAAAATTTCATTCCGTAAAGAGTTTGTCTGGACGTATCAATTATTTCTATGCCTATTGTGGTCTTAAAGTACTGATACATGTCAATTTCATAATTTATCTGCTTCTCAAACCAATTAATGAGGTTTTCGTTATCCAATTGAGGAACTTCCAGCGTCTGGTAGTACTGTGTTGCATCTTCAATAATTACTGCTTGTAAATCGCTTTCGACCTCAAAAAAATGAGAACAATTCGCTATTATTTGAAAATGTTTAATATCTGTGGAACCATTTACATATTTAAGCCTGTTTTGCTTAAACCCATCAGCTAAGAACGTAATAATGAAGTCCTGCTGAGCTGAATTTTGAGAAATATATTTGATAAATTGGTTTTGAATTGATTTGGAAATGGTTACCGGATAGAGGTATGATTTTTCAAAAGTGGAAAACAGTGTTTCAAGCTTTTCGATGTTTTGCTGGAGTTCTATATAGAAATTTTCAAAAGATTCGTAATTTTGAAGTTGAAGAATAGATTTTATGGAATTATTGGAATATTCATCAATTGTATTTGTGTATTTATCGGCTAGTTTCTGTAAAGTTACTTGATTTTTGCAGAGTTTTTCGATTAATTGATAAGTTGTTTCATAATTTGCAGATTTAACACTTGAAAATGTTTGCTTAACACATTCTAATATTGATTCCCATTGAATATCAAAGTTTTCTTCCGTTTGTTGTTCAGATACACTAGAAGTTCGATTAATTGATGGAGAAGTTATATTTTTCTTCACAGGTTTCTTTATCTTGATTGTTTTTGTTGACTTTTTTGTTGTAGAAGTTTGAGAATCTTGGTTCAGTCTATCTAAAATTTGAGATACAGAAGGATTTTGCATAGTTTGTCACTTTTCAATATCAAAAAATATAGAATTTTTGTTTTATTCTTTGTCATCTAGGAAATGTCGATATATTTAGGCATTTTGTTAATATTTTTCGCATAAATTTGTTTATTAATGTAATTTTTTTGAATAAAACTCAACATATTAATAATTTAGACACAAAACTTTTGGTTTCTATAATTGTTGATATTAATTTGAAGATCATTCAGTGGATATCGAGTTTTTCGAATTATTTTTGCCATTCAATCATATTTATGAAATTTCAAACGCATTTCAGCCACCATCGTAAATCAAAAGAGAAACACAGTTAAATTTTCCGAAAAAAGAATTTTTCGGAAATCGGCATATTTTTGGAATTAATATTTATTATAAAAAGCATACGAAAAAAAAATCCAACTGGTATGATGTGAAAAGTTTATTTAGCTGGAGCGCTTTCCTTCTTGGTAAGATTGTGAAGTCTAGCTTGAAGGACGATGTTAGTTGGTGGCACCTTCTTAATGCTGATGCCGTACTTTGGAGTGATAACGAACTTGGATGTTTCATTAACCTTCATTGATTTGACAGCAATATTGAATCCTTTAAATACGTTTTCAGCGCCAAGTTCAAATTTGAACTTGTTGTCGGTATATAAGAGAGTACCATTTGGAAGAGAGATATTGTAGTCAACAACTGCAAAATCACCATCTTGGCCAATTTCGCCTGCACCAGCTGTAATAATGTCCTTTGTAACGCCCTTATCTTCTGTAACATGGATTTTACCCGGTTTGACATATGGTTGTGGCTTTGGAATGTTTGGATTTGGCCAGAGTGCTAATCCAACCATTGCGCCAACAACAAGGACGCCTAAACCAATAAGGAAATATTTGCCATATTGTGAGCAGAAAGTTGTCTTCTTTACTTTCTTTGAATGCCTGAAATTGGATTTCTTAGCGTTCATTAAACAAGTGAAGTAAGATTATCGGACTTTACATATCTTCCGTGTCAGTTTTGACCTGACTTGAATTTTCGGAATTTTTTAGTGGAAAGTTTGTATGATTTATGCTCTAGAGCATTTTGAAATTTCTTTTTATGAACTGGAAAATGATTTTTAATAATATTTCCGTATGACGGTCTTTTTTTGAAAGTTTTTGAAATAAAACACGGAAAATAAATAAAAATTGATACTTAATCGAATTTAATCAAAAAGTAATATATATATATATATATCGAAAGATAGCTACGGTCCATATCGATTCAAAAAACTATTGTGTTATCAATGAATGAGATGGTAACAAACACTATCAGGAATTTTGATGTGTAATATTTGCCTTAATTCTATTTAAGAATGCTTTATCCATGGGCATTTTTTAATGAATAATATTTTGTTTCTTATGAATAAAGCAGATAGTATCATATAATTATTAGGAATACCCAAAAATATCGTATGGTCAGTAAAATTATAAGTTCACAAACAGTACTTTTCAAAAACAAAATATTTGAATTGTTGTTCATATCCAAATAGTGATTTTAAACAAAAAGATGCCTACACCTAAAACAATCAGATAAGCTGACCATGGATAAATCTATGATCATCGTTTTAGGTTAGACAATTAAAGTCAATCGTTTTTTGCTAAAAATTTACCCTTTTCCTATGTCAGAAAGGTGAGAAAAACAAAAAATCTCTGATATTGGGAATATAGATTGTTCATTTAATGATCATTCTAAATATCATAAAAATAAGCATATTTTGTAAGCTGTCAAATTCTAGGAGAACAAAAAAAATCCATATTATATGAAAAATTAATTTATTATTAGATGCTAATTTTATTTAACAAGAAATAAAAGAAAAATTGTAAGCCCGCCAAAAAGTGTAAACTATTCAAAAATTTTTGACATTCAATGAGGATAAAAAAAGTTAAATTTAAAGCATAAAAAAGGATTTTATTCCTATAACAACCATATAAGTAGATATAATACATAATCAACATACTTGTGGTGTTTGTTCTGAGTCTTGAACTCGGCTTGGAGACTGAGAAACAGTAAATTAATCTTCCAGTCGTATCGATCTTTTTCGCTCTTCTGTACTTCTTTAGCTGGTCTTGTCTTCTACTTGCTTTTCTATCGCTTTCCTTGTGTTTCGGTCTTTCTTCAGGTCTTCCTTTTCGTAATCTGTTTCAATTTCCTTTCTGTCTTCGCTTAAGTAATGGTTTGTGAGTTGTTTAGATATTATCTTGTATATGTGTAGCCGTTTGGTATGTTCTTATTGCGCATTTATGCTTGATTTGTTGAAAGATTTGCTAATATTAGATAAAGTTTTTGTTTTTCGTGTGATTTTGCATCTGTGTGGTTAGTGCTTCATTGAGGTATCGATATTTCTTACTATCTTGTGTTGATGCTACTCCAAAAAAATTCCAAATCAATAAAATGATACCAAAAATGTGAAGTGGTCAAGGCCAAAGAATAAAATTTTAATTTTTTTAGCGGTTATTAAAAAATTTTGTAAAAAATTAGTATAAATTGATTTTTTAACAGGAAAAGTTTGACTTAAGCATAAAAGAAATCTGCCAATAGGATTTAATTTATCTAAAACACTATTATTTAGTACAAAAAGCTAATAAGAAATTTGAAATTAAATTTAAAAAAATTAACATTGATTTACATGAAACCATATAGATTATATTTAAAACTAATACATAATTGCAAAAAATTATATAAGATATCCTGGATCATTATATGGGGTTGAAATTCAGATCGAAAAAATGTAATTAAATCGGAAACGTTATAAAACAATCATATCAATAAGATGTAAAAAGAATGGGTAAATAAATGATTATATAAACAACTGTTTAATCCACTTCAAAAAGGTAAAAATTACAATAATTTATAAAAATTTTGTGTCTGCTAAGTTTGAGATCTTGGAGTATTAAATATTATCGTTGGTAATATGCTTAACTCGATGTTTTTTGATTTTGTTAATTTTAATATAAAATTTGAATCAAGAGTTTCATTTTCGAACAGCTACTACAAAAATGACCTTTTTCCATGGAAAAAGGTCATTTCTGTCGTTGCTGCTCGAAAACTCTGGTTTTGTATTTCAAAATTTCAACTACCAACATAAATCAAGATCTGATGTTAGGAATAATATTTGTTTCGGGAACAAGAGGTGTGTTGCTGATTTGAAAGGAAATTCTTGAGTTTTTGTGAAATTATCTAAATTATTTCTCCGAAGTTTTTTGAATAACCATATGAATTAGTACCATTGTGGATACTGATTCATTAGCTTGAAGGACAAGTAAGGACCTTAAAGAAGTCCAGCGCCTTAAGCTCATTTGACATTTAGGTGTCAGAAATGTGCGCTTTTATGGACGGGGGTATACCCAATTCTACCAGATTTGCCAAATTTTGAGGGAAAAAAACCGAAATTCTAGGAGGCAGATTTTTTTATAGGAAAAAACGATCGACTTTATAACTTTCGGTTCTAAAAATATATTAATCAATAGCACTATTTTGATGCACACAACGCTTATATTGAGTGTCTAAATAATGGACGAATTAGAAGGATATCCTCATTAACTCAACCCATCAGGTTGTTCAGAAAATTGTGATAGAAAAAATAATACTTTCAATTACTATAAAAGTTTGGGAAATGAAGTGTAGGATAGGAAAATGCATAAATGTATAGAGAATACTGAATAACAAATTTAGCAAAATGAAAATGAAAGAAATATTATTTTTGATGCATATATGTTACAATTTAAATCAATTTATGCCTATCACATGAGATAAAATTCCTGATTGTAATAAACTTTTTGAATTGTCGTCCTAATTGAATTGAAATTTTTACTGAATAGGAAATTAGTATTCAGCATTAAATAGTATTAAATTTTTTAAATGACCAAAATTGGAGAAATAGTTTGATACGATTAACAATTTAGAAAATGGTGAAAAGTGGAATAGACTTCAATTCCAAAACAGATAATACAAGTATTGTTAATTTTTGAGTAAAATAATTTGAATGGGAGAAAACTTTAAACAATATTTACTAAAAAAATGATATTCATAATGTAAATAATATAATTATAATTAGCTAAGTTCAAATATGACTAATTATAAGAAATTTGAATTTCTCTCAAATTTCTAATTTTCATATAAAAATTGAAAAACGAACAATTAAAAATGATATCTATTTATTTCTAAAGTGTATTCAAAAAGATGTAGCGATAATAATTTGTAGAAAAATATTTGAAGCGCCCGCTAAGAAATCGAATGTGATAGAATTATATAAAAGTGTGACGGTCTTCAAACCAAAATTCGTGTATTTAATTCAATAAACTCTTATCTATAATAATTCAAATTAGAGAGTATAATTAATTGTGAGAAAGCTTTTGTATTCAATATTGTTCATATTGTAACACTCTATAACACCAATAATATTTTAATTTTATATCTAAATTTTGAGAGGTTATTCATTTAATTTTTATCAAAATTCATTAATGGTAGATTCTGATCCTATCTTTGCTATTGAAGGAGTATTAATGCAAAAGACAAATGTATTCCGATCGGATCGTAAGCTCTATGGCATAGTTACCGAAAAAGTATTCTCTACGTTCACAGATGAAAAATATCAGCGTCTGTACAAAGAGATTTCTTTAGACGACATCAAATCAGTTTCTCTTCTTAATGGCTGCCGCCCAGGTTTCACCATTACACTTGAAGACTCTGACGAAGAGTTAAGTTATTTTTGTCAATCTAAGCACCAGGCACAGAAATGGGTTTGTGCACTTGAGTTAAAACCATTCAGTAACAATCTTGATCTCTCTGATTTTGAGTTTATCAAAGAAATCGGAAAAGGAGGTTCTGCTACAGTTTATGTAGCTCGAAACAGGATCACAAACGAACTTGTAGCTATTAAATGCATTGATAAAGCTAACATTTCATCAGATAAAAGAAAGGAACACATTCAATCTGAAAGAAATACTCTCATGAGAGCTCGTCATCCCTTTATTATTCGTCTTTACAATGCTTTCCAGACCAACACACATCTCTTCTTTGTGCTTGAATTTGCTCATGGAGGTGATCTCCAATTCCAATTAGAAAGAAATTGTTTTTCAGAGTACCAAAAGAAGCTTTACCTTGCAGAAATTGCCCTTGCAGTCAAGTCACTCCATAGTATCGGTATCATTTACAGAGATTTGAAGCCAGAAAACATTTTACTTGATGCAAAAGGACATATCAAACTTGCCGATTTCGGAACAGCCAGAGAAGTCAGACCAGACTGCTCTTGCACTTCTTTCTGCGGCACAGCAGAGTTCCTTGCTCCAGAAGTCATCCAAGGAAAAGAAAATCAATCTTTCGCCATTGACTGGTGGAGCTTTGGTGTTGTTGCTTACATGTTCTTCGTTGGAAGCTGCCCATTCACTTCCCCACTCAGAACTCGATTGTTCGAGAGCATTGTCCACAAACCCCTCAGATTTCCTCCGAAATCTGTAGACCCTGTCACACAGGACTTCATATCGAAGCTGCTAGAGAAGAACCCAGCAAAGAGACTCGGAAGCCCTGGATATGATATATTCAAACACCCGTTCTGGGGAGAAATCAACTGGGAAATGGTCCTCAAGTGCGAGTACGCACCAGACTTTGTGCCGATCTCTGATGAAGAGGACCCTGGAGTCAATTTCGAATCAGATGAATCAACTGTCGAAGTTGACTGCTTCGAAAGCTCAAACGATTTCGATAGAATTACTAATTTCACTTTTGACAATACTAATGTTGTTTATGCATAATTTTAAATTATACTGTTTATGTAGTGTTTTTAGTAATCAAGTATAAATATTTTACTTTTTATTATTTTATTTAGGAAAAATTTAAATTCTGATATGTAGAATATAAAGAATAGTCAAAATAATGCATATTCAATATGCATTCCAAACGGGAACCGCGGTTGGTTACCATGGATTTCCGTCACCGGTCACATTTTAAAGATTTTTTAAGCCTTATAAAAATATGCTTTGTAAATCATTTTTTGTAAATCGGCAAAAATTTGGTAATTTTCTTCAACTAATAAATCTGCGAATAGCATTTATAATACAAGAACAATCTTTTAAAATGCGTTTGATTCATTTTTGTATAATTTCATATAGGCACATATATTCTTCCGGGACTTTCCGTGATTTTACCGTAAAATCATTAGTTTACACCAATTTTTCCGTATTTTGAATAGTTTACTGCACTTTTTCCGTAAAATTGAGTTACGGGAATCCGCAAAATTTCCAGACCTCATTTTTCATAGAATATAATAATAATATTTGATAAAAAGATATATTATTTATATTTTTGATTTTTGAATTACGGAAAAAGTAAATTGATAACTTGATTTTTTTATATGGTTAATTTTTCAAATGATATTATGAAGATCTAAAATATTAAAAGTAAAAAATTGAATTACGGAAAAAGTGAGGTCAAAAGTGAAATAAATTTGCAGAACAATTTTCATTGAAATAAGCTTTATTTTTCATTATTAATAACAATGCAAAAAAATATTTATCACGGGTTCAAAATTTAAAATTAAATATTTTAATAATTTACATCTTATTCTTTATTTTATATTTAACCCGTGAAAATATCATTTAAAAATTGAATATATTCAAAAAGCTTTATTTTTATTATGACTGCATGGGATCCTCATGTATATGATGAGTGGATTCCATTTAAGAAGACGAAATATCCACCAACTCCTGAAACATTGGAAACAAAGTGTGGAAAAAAATGTTTCACTACGATCGGCTATTATGAGAATGAGCCTAATCAATCAGACAAAGGAAGGCTCTTTACATACTGTGCCGAATGTAGTGAAACATTAGTTCAAGGGCAGTTCGTGCGATGCATTAAAAAAAGCAGGAAAAATGATTTTAAAGATCATACAAGTCAATATTTTGTGGAAAGAAGACTTACATAGACTTACTCACGAATGATTTAAATGAAGTTGCATTTCACTGCAGAATGAAAGGCGTGAAGCAAGATGTTATTGCTTTAACCGCTAATGAAATGTTTCCTGACTCTGTTCAGTGTTTCTATGATGAAGATAAAGGTTTAATGGTTCCGCAAGGAAAATTTGACAAAGACTCTGAGTTCAGTTTAATGAAACTTTACAAAGCACTTCATGATGGTTTTACAATTTACATCATATTTTTTACAATTATCGAATTTTTATCAGATTTAGTATATCAACGATAAATTTTATCGAAATATAAAAGCGTGTTACTTACTAATCAGAGTTTTTCGCGATTCATATTTCAATTTACAAATCCAAGCATTGCTTTTCGTTTTCAAACATCAATTACTGCACTAAAATCATCTGCTTATACAAATCATAAAAAATTTAAATACGATTGAATATTATTTTTATTTCGCGATTTATTTACAAATTTGCAGCTCACTCATATGAAATTTTTCGAAGTAGTGAGTTTTCCTTGTTTAATTTCTTAAATTATGAATAAAAATTTACTTTTATTAAAATTCTACTTATAAAACTACTTTTTAACCATAAACACAGTCATATATCATATATCATAAGTATGTGAAACTAGTCGCCAGTATTTTACTTCATATTGCGATACTTTTTTGATTCGAATCTTATTCTCATTATAAAATTATTGAATTTAACATAATATTGATGGCAGATGCAATATATAGCCTATGAATTTTATGCCCTTAACTTAAATTGTATTATAATTCCCTTATATCAATTAAATTATCTTAATTAAGTTAGCATATTTATATAATATACTATTTTGATTAGTTAATTCATATTCATATGTTCTGAGCTATCTATCATATCAATTTCAGAAGTGAAATTCAACTCCTTCATACCAAAATCAATATCCTATGGGTCTATCGTCATGATCGGAACGATTTTCGGGAAAAACATCAAAAGACGATTATTTTTCGGGAAAAACGTTTCTTCCCGACAAATATTCAACATAAAATTAAGTTTTCGTTTCGTTACAAGGCATTCATACTTTGGAGATATCATATTTAATGTACAGAAAAGTTAATATTAAACAATACATGCTAAAGAATTAATAAATAAGATAATAAAATAAATTTATACGTAATTACTTTCATTTAATATGCTTTATGCTGTATAATATTGATTAAGAGGCATTAAAAGGTTCCATAGTCTGCTTTTATAGGCAAGATTTTTGATAAAAATTTTAAATTTTGAAAAATGATGAGAAAAGGAAAAAAAAAGTAAATGAGAGCAAGAGGAGGGGAAAAAAAGAAAAAGAAAAAGAAAATGTTCCATATTAAGTTCTGTCAAAATGTAAGCTATTCAATTCTATCGTCGGGGGAAGTATCACAAATCTATCAATTTTTTTGTAAAAGTATACAAAAACATATGGTGTTCAATTAGTTTATAATAATATAAATATTAAGATTATCCAAAATAAGAAAAACTAGGTTTTGAGAACACTTTTGAGATGATAATCAAAATATTTTGATTGAAAAATAATATATTATTTATCAGATATAGAATGGATTTTTTCAAATTTAAAAATTCTGAAAAATAAACAGTTTTGTAAAGTAAAAAAAATGAACGAAAACTCGAGATCTCGTATTCCAAATGAATGGGTAAGATATATGTATGAAAAACTTGAAAGTGGTGAGTAAGGATGTCAATTTGGAAGAAAAGTGAGAAAATTTTGATTGTGAACTCATCTCTAATATTTTGGCTCCTTAATATATTTGAATCATGATCTTTGAGAAGAGTTCTCAAAAGTATTCACAAAAGCTATTTTTCCTTGAAATTTAAAAATCCTGTTTATCATATATTACTGAATTCAATTCCCTACATATTTCAAAATATTCTATGAACATTTCAATTTTTGAAAAAAACATATTTTTTCCAAATATATTTATTATCATATTTCTAATAATATTTCCTAAAGCGTCACTTTTTACTTCCTCGATGATTATTTCCCTCTCAAAAAATTCAATAGCTTACATTTTGACAGAACTTAATATGAAACAAAAAGAAAGGGAAGGGAAAAATAAAAGAAAGAAGGACATATAAAAATTTAGATGCGCATTCTTAATGCCGAGGCGGCTTGCCGCCGATGCGCGATTTTTTTAGGCCTCTACGGTAACCCGGCAATGTTTTTTTAAATCTTGTACAGCCCTAGCATATTGCCTATTATATTATTTCCAAAAAATCTCCAAAAATTTTGGAAATTAGAATTTTTGTTCATAAAAACTATAATTTTTTTCATCGAATTATAAATTTTCAATTATTTTTGGAAAAAAATTCCCTTTACAAGTATATTCAGTTCATGTAATTAAATATGTTTTGAAAGATCTTTTTATAATACTTTGTTAATTTTTATTCTTCATGAGAATTTAACATAGATCTATACGATATATAACAGCATCATTTCATCTTAAAAACAGCACATTGTTAAACGAAGGTTAATCAAATTGAACATCAAAAATGACTTTTGTACATTTTAGTTATATAATTCCAGAGTCAAGCCTTCACAAGATGTAACTAATTTCCCTCACATATATTTTCAACAAAATTAAGCAAATATTTGATTAATCAAAAATCCGGTTTTATTTTATTCAATTATTTGGCAGCCTGTGGTCTTGCATCAGCGTAGACGGAGAGGCAGAGCCAAGAGTAGTAAGCTGGTTTGTCGACGACTTTAACCTTGACTTTATCCTTTGTCGCTGGAGGAACGACGCCCTTGACCTCCTTCTCGAGGCGGGCCTGGAGACCCTTCATGTTGGCTCCACCTCCGTAAACGACGATATTTTCGCATAACTTGGCTCTGTAATCGACTGGGGATTTCTTGACCGAGTTGAAGATATCGTTGTGGAGGCCATCACTCTCGAGGTTTTCGTTGATGAAGAATGGGATGAAATAGGATTCTCCAGCGTTTAAGAGCTCTTGGCCAGTAAGCTTGTGGCCCTTGAATTCAACATCAGGTAATCCCTTCTCGCAAGCTTCATCGAAGTTTGGAACAACTGAAATTTTTTCAGACTTGATTTCTTCGATCAAAGCTGGGTCATCAACCTTGAAGGCCTTCTTGATGTAGTTAGCGAGTTCATTGCCATTGCAAACGTGGACAACTCCGGATCCATCGACAAATGTTCCTTCTGCAATGCATGTAATCTCTGACTTTTGATAGCCAAGATCCACAAGGACTGCATTTCCTGTGCATGTTGCGTTAATGACAAATGATTTTTCGAGGTATAATGCTGGAACTTTAAGCTCATTTCTGAAAAATTCTTCGATTTGCTTCTGAGCTTGGTCAGATGTTCTTAATGACATTGTGACATATGCTGGTTGTGCAGAAGGAGAAACTCCAAGTAATTCGTAAAGTTTCTTGACAACAACTTTGTATTGATCGAAGAAATTTGGAACTCTGCCTTGGAATGGCTGTCCACCAAGCTCAAGTGTAAGCTTGTCAACTTTTGGAACTTCTTGGCCTGCAAATCCTGCGCGGCATCTGTAGCTTCCGAGATCAATTACAACTGCGGGCATCGCAATGAATTTTTTTTATCTGTCACCTCACAGATGATATGAGATAAAATGATATCATTGGAGTTTTAGAAAATCAACTTTTTAATTATTAACAGTAGGTATTGTAATAAACAGAAATTCATCAAAAGTGACAGCTCTCAATTTTTTGACATTTGTAAATTCTAAATTGAATGAGAAAAATGAAATAATACTAAGCATAATACAATATTCTAGATTTAATTATAATTAGGAAAAAGTTAGTTTTGAGAGTACTTTTCATAGGCATATAGAATGAAATCTTCTGAAAAATAATATCACATAAACTCATATTATTTTCTAATATATAACTATTTTATATAAAAATCAAAATTCAATGATCTTAAAAGCGAAGGATAAACCTCAAAATTTACGAATATAATGAGTGGGAATATAATGCTTATCTATCATAAAACCATATGAAATATCAATTTTTGCTTTACGCCTAATTTTTGACGACAATTAGCAAAAAATGTTAAATGTTAACACTCAGTCCATTTGAATATGAAAAATAAAATTGACTTTGATTAAATGTTTTTATTTATCATGCAATTCTTCTTGCGACCAAAGATTTGAATAAAAGTTCAAAAAATAAGATAGCTTAAAAAATAATATACGGTAGTGTTTACTAATAGATGAATAGTATATAAATTCTATTAAAATGGATTTGATCCAAAAAAATATATAAAATTTGATCATAAATAAAATCGTTTTAAATTACTTCTTCATTTAAGGATACCCTTACATTGCGTAGTTAGAAAGAGAATATGATATTGTCATGATTGCTAAAGTTTTAGGCTCCAGAAATGAATATACATCAAACTGAAACAATTGATAAATTGAATGAACTTTTGAGAGGTTCTCAAATAAAAAAATTATCTAATTTTTTACAATATTACTATTATTTTATCCACATATGTATATATAGTAATTTGAGAAAACTTTTAGGAAAAAATAAGTTTAATAAAAATCTGAATTTTACTTGTTGTGGGATTGTTATTAATTGACACTCCAGACGTATTACTAATAGTTATGCGTATGCAATTAAAGTATTTCTGATGGACAAAATGTGAGATTTATATCAGATAATTCATTTCTACTATTAAGTTATTCATTTATGAGTTTGCACTTATTCGCACTAAATAAATAAATATTAAAATTGTTTTAATTAATTGACACCATATAATAGAGTGAATTTTGTTTGATCAAACAACAATAGATGATAGATATAAAGCCAAGAAACTTGCTATTAATATGCTCTACTTGCTATTTCAATGTAAGTATGATATTTTCTAAATGTTTCGTTCAGATAACTTAGATATATTAGTCAAAATTTGAAATTTTAATAGCACATATATTAAAAATAATTATTATTCATAAAAGATTAATGAAATAGTAAAAAAAATCAATCAAATTATAAAAATACAACATATGGTTTTTTATGGTTGTCTCATAATAGCATTTCATGAGAAAAAATATAATACTATTTATTTTTGCATAGTTCAATTTTTTTTAAATAATGCAAGATATCCCGCCATTAGTTTTCATGAAATAATCCAAAAATCAGCATACACTTGAGAACATAGCAGCTCTACATGTTTTCGCTATTTATTTTCCAATAATATGAGGGGTTCACGGGATAAAGCTTCATTAAGCATAATTGATTACAATATCATCATATATATACCGAACATATAACAAATGGGATATTTGTATACTAAAATAAAAAAGGAGCAAATAGTAGTAGGGTATGACGGGTTGTGTGACTTTTTTTGTTACGTCTATATATAGATGAAGGTATATTTTCACATCTTCTATATATAGATGATATAAAAATTTTTTCTTACGTTTTTTAAGTCATGAATTCGTAAGAAAGCGCGACATTATTAAATAAATTAGTAATAAATATTATATACTAAACACATTTTAAAAAATTAACATTAATTTTAAAATAATTTATTTTTTTATCTTTTATAAAAGAAGCTATATATAGATGATGTCAGATATTCCGCGATTAATTAAACATTGTTTAAATCCTGAATGGGTTAAACTTCAATTTAAAAATGAAGATTGTGAATTATTAAATGAATATGAAAGCCAAAATAAGCTAATGAGGTATAAATATAATGATAAAGAATATTTAATTTCATGGAATCAATGGAGTCATAATCAAAGACCTCATAAACGAGAAGAAGAAATTGAAAATAATGAAATGGAAATCATTGATGACATTAAAGAGGATGGAATTCCTAAATTTTGTAGAAAAACCTTTAGAACTAAGTTAGGAGCATATAAACGTAGAGTATTAAATCCTGAATATCTTAAACATATATTTAAAAGGGAAGACTGTGAATTATTAAACGCTAATGAATATGAAAATGCTAAATCAAAACTGAGATATAAATATATTGGAAGTGATGAAAGGTGTAAAGATAAAGATAAAGTTTATTCAGTTTCATATAATAACTGGCACACGTTAGGGATAAGAAAACATTTAGGAGATTATGGGAAATGTTCTGAATTCTTTAAATCTAGTATGTACGAGAGAATAAAAGAAATTAGAAATAATTATTTTCATGAATGAAAGATTCACTACCATAATAAAAAATAAAAAATAAAATTTTTTTAAAAAATAAACTTTAAAAATTCATGTCTTACATTTTTGAATAATTTATTTTTTATTTTGTATGAAATGAGTGTCAAAACTAACGACGTGAAAACATTAGGATTCACAAACGAGGAAATAAAGGATATATTAGATGAGATGTGTTATGAAGTTAGTAAATATTATTTAAGAAATTGTCAAAAATTTGCGAGTTATTAAATGATTTAGATTATGATGGAAAAAAATAAAGATGATGTTATAAATTTCTTATATCCCACATCTGAAGAAGAAAAACCTAAAGAACCTGATGTTTTCCCTGAATTTATGAAGAACGGATTAAAGATGATGATGAATACGAAATTGAAAAACTGGAAAAAATAAGAGATGAAATAGATGAAAAAATTAAGAATTAAGAGAAGTTGAAAAATATAATGAGAATGAAGTAGAGGGTTTAATGAATATCCCAGCTTCAGAATCAGAAGTTCAAAAATCATGAAAAAATATAAAATTACTTTTGAATCTAACTAAAAATTTATTAGATGGTGATAACGAAACACTTTCAGAAGAAGGCACAAAATTTATTCATAAACATAAGTTACAATTTATTGACGATGAAAATACCATGTATATTACTTTCACCTCCTTGATTCTGAAAAATTCAAAAAAGCACTGAAAAATGTAACATATGCAACAAATACGATTAAGAAAGAAGACCATGATATTTACACAAATTATTATTTAAATAAATGTACAGGTGTTGATAAAGTTTTTGATTTGTTAGATAAAATATCAAAAGAAACAATTGGTACATATAAAATTTTATGTGATTGTGGTTTCATTATTGAAGATACCAATAATGTTTCATATGAAAGAACAGCACCGAAGGAAGACGAAGTTGAAAGGTCTATACCATTCGTTATTAAGAACATAAAAGATATGAAAACTTATAAACATTATATTTATTCATTTATTTCAGAAAAAATGGAAGCAACCCATAAAACATCATCTCATCATTTTATAGCTATTCATACATTCCTTTTCAAAGTTGTGAAATTAAATAAGACAGGAATTAGATTTAATGTATCAGGGTACGCATTCTTGAGTAAATTAAAATGTATTCGTCACGTCGCAGATGATAAAAATTTATGTGTTCTTAATTCATTTTATGGACTTTAGCCCTGGACTTTTAAAAAAAATAAACTTTATTTTTTTTATTTTTTAATTTTTATTCTTACATAAATGAACAAAATGGAACAGCTAAAATGAATGATAATCAAATAAGAGCCGAAGGTAGAAGGTTATTTAAACGCTTCTATAACATTCCTGATGGTGTTAATCCTAAAACTCGTAGAAGTTATTTAAATGAAGCCATAGATGCATATGAAGGATTTGACATTTCATCAGAAAGTGAGAGGTTAGCAAGAATGTTAAACGTTAATATTGATTTTATTATTGTGACCCTCAACCAGAAGACGTAGACATTAACAAGGTAGACTTTCCATTAGTGGATTCAATAATGATAGATCCAGAATTTGAAACAGTAAATATTTTATTAACACAGAGTCCATGTGGAAAACTTCACGCTGATAGAATAACAGACGTTGAAGCACTCACAGGATATAAAGTTTGCCCCTTTTGCAAAGAAGAAGTATATTCTATCCGTGATGATCCAGAAAGGAAAAACCAAAGAAGATTTTTAAAACATTGTGAGAAATGTAAAGAAAATAATGGAAGATTAATTCAAGACGTTCAATTGCAAAACACACAACAACCATATGCACCACATATTACGAAACAGAAGATATATCAGTGGTTATTAGCTCAAATTTGCAGGAATATTATCAACCGACAAGATATTATATTACTTTTGACTTCGAAACATTAGAGACTAAAGAAGAATTACAACTTTCTGAGTGTGCAACTTTGAATGCTTACTTAAAACCATTCATGGTATCATCAACGGTTAAATTAAAGCCGCAAAGCGGCGAGGTCGTAGACCGTGATAAAACATACGAGGAATTTTTGCTTAACTTCGAGTGATTCTTTTATTTCTGATTGGATTGAGTTTTTATTTTCAACCTGTTCATTAGTTGCTAAATCAAATATTGAACAATATGAAGAATTAATGAAGTCGCAAACATTAAATGAAAAACAGAAGGAAGCATTTAAAGAACTTCTAGATGAGGAATTCAATAAAGTGAATATCATAGGTTTTAATTCGGGAAAGTTTGATTTAAATTTAATTCTTCGTGATTTAAACACTGCAAAATGGAAAATAAAATCAATGCTGGGTTCATCTTCACAATTTAAGCAAATCATAGTAAAGAAAACAAACTGTCCATATGAATTAAGATTTATTGACATCAGAAATTATATAGCGGGTGGAACATTAGATCAATTCACTCAAGATTTCGGAAACAATAAATCACGTGTTAAATCCTTTTTCCCTTATCAATTCATCACGTGGGAAAATTACGAAGATGAATTATATAAAAAGGAACCATTCACTCAAGATTCATTTTATTCAGCATTAACTCAAGAAACTATATCAGATAGTGATTATCAAATATATCTCAATGATGCTAAAAATTTTAAGAATAGATTAGAATATTTTATTCATTATTGCAATAAAGATGTTGAAATTATGATTGACCCAATTGATAAAATTATCGAAGAAACATTTGTTTATAAAATTGACATGCTTCATAATCTTTCTTTATCATCGAATGCATCAATGATTCGTTACGCGTTAGCATATAAGAACTTCAATCCTAACGAAACATATCCAGAAGAAGAAAATGTGGAATCAAGTTTTGAATTAACAAAAAAGTATTGGAAATATAAAATTGAATCATATAAGAAACAAGATGAAAAAGCAGAAAGAGATACTAAAAACAATGTTTCAATGGATGACTATCAATACTATCACGATTTAATCCTTTCATCTAAATGCAAAATGTGTGGTAAAGCGTTTACATATGCAAATAAACCAACATTGGATAGAATCGATAATGAAAAACCACATACCAAAGAAAATTGTCAGTTAATGTGTTGTTATTGCAATGTCGTAAAATCAAATAAAGATGAAGATGTTCAACGTTTAAGAATCAATTTAAGAAATTATGTATTAAAAAATAATTTACCAATGACTTTAGATTCAGTTGAAGCTTATCACATTCTCCGTAATGGAATTACTGGTGGTCTATCAAATGTTCAACATCGTGTTAATCTTAAAGGAATCACGCACATTAATAAACTTTCATATAATCCAGAAACTAAAACTGTATCAAATGAGGACACCACCAACATTATGACTCATTTCGTTGGTGTTGATTTTAATTCATTATATCCTTCATCATTTTCATCTAATCCTCATGATTTCATTCAATATACTGACCATAAAATGTATATGCCGGGAAGATTGAATGGTGTTATCATTTGTGATACAGCAACAAAGAAAGCAAAAGCACTGGGAATTATTAAGAAGAAAAATACTTTATTCGTGGCTGAAGTAAAGGGTCACATTGATGAAAAATACATTAATGATTACATAAACTTTTTACCGATAATAAGAAACTTAGATATTATCACAGATGAAAAAACAATTGGCAGTTTTATGTATAATTACATGAAATCAAACAATCTACCAGTTGACCAGAAACAGAGGAAATTAACTCAGTTAGCATCAACACACAACCAATATCAACCATTTTCTTCTTATTATCTTTGGTATCTAATCGACAGATTTCATTTTATCATTGATGACATTCAATCAATTTTAACATTTACTAAAAACACTTGTTTTAATGAATTTGCGAACAAATTTATGAACGAAAGACAAAAGGCTGAATTAGAAGGAAATAAAGGAAAAAGTTTATTTTGCAAGATTTCACTTAATGGATCATATGGTTACGATGCAATGAATACACAAAATTACGCAAAGACTAAAATAATGAATGCACAGAAGGCACGCGTTGCATGTATGTCAAATAAGTTTAAAAACATAAGAGAAATAGGAGAGGATACATATCAAGTGATGCTCAAAGATAGATTTTATAGATGTGATACATGTTTACAAGAGGCATTCTTCACTTTAGATAATGCTAAATACTGGTATTTGGTTTTCATTTATGATTTTATGTATAAATGCATGGATGTTAATCGTTTTCATTTCATTGAAGGTGATACTGATTCATCTTATTGGGCAATCGCTGGTGATCCAAATCTTCCTAACACTCAAGCATTTCAAGCAATTGTTACCGATAAACAATTTTATGATAAAAACATTTTCAAATTCGCACCATTTGATTTCTTCTGTTTTGATGAGAAATTTAAACCTAAATTAAAGAATAAAGCTGAAGAAAAAGCACATGAGAAGAAGTTATTGGGTTTAGCAATTGAGAAACAAGGTGATAACATGGTTGCTTTATGTCCTAAGTGTTATACATCATTCAACGGTTCAATTGATGGAAGTGATTTTAAAAAGATTGCACAAAAAATGAAAGGAGTTAGTTTACGACAAAATAAACAATTAACACCTAAAAATTATTTGGATATAATAAATGATAAATTGATATTTGATGGTCAGAATATTAATTTACAACTTAAAAACGGGTCTATGACTCGCTTAACAATCGGTAAGACTGCATTAACAGGAGCACACACTAAGGCTGTATGTTGTGAAAATGGATGTTGTATGCCATTTATTTAATACAATTTGAAATTTTATTTTTTAAAAAATGGGATTCACAAATGAGACAAAAGGAACCGTTAATGATGGTTTTGATTCTTGATCAAAGAGGTGGGCACCCTTAAAACATTGATTTTATTTTTATATAAATGAATAGCGCAGATTTAAAAATTTTAATTGATGATTTAGTATTTAATCAAAATTTTCTTGATTATTATGATTTAAAAGCATATCTCCAAAAATATAATAATAATATAACGGGTGATGATATGGAATATTATTATCCATATTATAAAAATGAAATTTTGAAATATCATAATAAAATAATTTCTAAAATTAAAGACAAAATTAAAAATAATGAATATTTAAAGGGAAAAACTAAATCACAGCTTAAACAATTGAAAGATTTCAAAAATAAAGTATTAACAGAAGAAGATATTGATGAATTATATAAATTATATAATCCTGAGCCACAAAAACCAAAGCCAAAGGAACAAAAACAAAAGGAACAAAACACCCAGGTCCTTCAGACCATAAATGAAGCACAAGCTTTAATTTATGATTCATTAGTTAAACCATATTCAGCCCGACTTTTAAATGAAGATCAACTTTTGGAATTCATCCTTCAACATAAACTCGAAGCGGGAAAGTATATCAAACCTTTATATACAGCATATTTAAAACAAATGAATAAAATACATCCAGAATTAATGAAGGGAGGATTGAATTCCAAAATCAAAGCAGATAAAATTAAACCACTTACAACACCAAAACCTCCAACAGTAGTACCTCCTCCTTCAGTTAATCCTTCATCATTCACTTTATTATATCCATTTCAAACATTTAAGAAGCAAAAAGATTTTAAAAAGGATTTCAAGATATTAAATAAACCAATTGACCCGAAAATTCAACCATTAAAGGAAAAATTTAGTCGACCTTCATTTGCTCCATATCCAGATTCATACGAAATTGATCATCTGGAATATTCAAAAGGAAACGTTACTTATTTATTTGCCATTAACATTAACACTAGATATTTATATTGCATTCCGGTGAAAGGGAAAACAGAACAGGAAACAAGAAGAGCTATTCAATACTTACTAGATCATGAAAGAGTAGATAATATCAGGGGTGATGGTGATAAAGGATTTCAGGCAGCTATGACTCATTATTTCCCACAAATTAATTTTTACTTCTCATCCTCTCCATATACGTTTCATAATAAAATAGTTGATGCGGTAATGAGAACTCTTAGAGATGCGTTAGGGGTTAACGGTCAGATATACTGGGATGGAAATCATGACTCCATCATACAACAGTTAGTATATTATTACAATAATACATGGCATAGAACTATAAACATGAAACCAGTGGAAATGAAAAATGATATTTCAAAAGAATGGGAATATATTAGAAAGCAAATGGAAAAGTTAAATGATGTTAAACGTGAACAAATTAATTCGGGGCTCATGAATTTTAAACAAGGAAATAAAGTTTTAATTCATCTCGATTATGGAAAAACTGATAAATCAATGACAAAAAGAAGACGAAGATTTGACACAATAGCTGAATTTGTTAGATATATTAACGGCAATGCATTAGTTGAAGTTGACAATAAATTAATAGAAATTCCGATTTATTTTATTACTCCATTATATTTAAATAATATTTAATTTTTTTTATTTCGTAAGAAATGAGTGACAACAAAGCAGTCAAGAGTCCAGACAATGAATATAAAAAGAAACTAAACAGAATTAAATCAAAAATATGCTATTACAAAAAGAAGTCGCAATGCGGTGGGGTTGAAAACGATAAAGAAATAATCGAAAAATTAGAAACTTACCGTTCAATCATTAAACTGAGTGAAGCAAAAATAAAAGAATTTAATAGAATAAATAAATTGGTTGGAAGAGATGAATTTAATAAAGATGAATTTTTAAACTCAATCCAAATTTAATTTTTATTCCTCTTTGACAACATCTCTCTTTCCATCATTACTGCATAACCACATTTTCTCAATTTTAGTGGTTTGTTATTTTTAACATGTTCTTGCATCATTTTTATCATTTCCTCCCTTGTTATGATTCGTGGTAAATTTTGAGCTTGTGGGGTATTCATTTATGATAAAAATAAAAATTTGTTATCACTTATTTTATCGTTAATGGTTTCGGGTTATTCAATAATTAATTATTTTTGAATAACTGAAGGGGTCACCGGGTCACCAGGTGGTCACCAGGTCATTTAACTTCTCTGAAAAAATGTGACAACATGACATTTTGACAACATAGTGGGTTATTCAATAATTAATTATTTTTGAAGAACTGAAGGGGTCACCAGGTCACCGGGTCACCAGGTCACCAGGTCATTTAACTTCTCTGAAAAAATGTGACAACATGACATTTTGACAACATCATGGGTTATTCAATAATTAATTATTTTTGAAGAACTGAAGGGGTCACCAGGTCACCGGGTCACCAGGTCACCAGGTCATTTAACTTCTCTGAAAAAATGTGACAACATGACATTTTGACAACATCATGGGTTATTCAATAATTAATTATTTTTGAAGAACTGAAGGGGTCACCAGGTCATTTAACTTCTCTGAAAAAATGTGACAACATGACATTTTGACAACATCATGGGTTATTCAATAATTAATTATTTTTGAAGAACTGAAGGGGTCACCAGGTCACCGGGTCACCAGGTCACCAGGTCATTTAACTTCTCTGAAAAAATGTGACAACATGACATTTTGACAACATCACAGGCGGAAGGCAAAAATAAATTCCAGTCATACTTTATAAAGCTTCATTTACGGGTATTTCATCGTCAGTAAATGAATCCTCATTATCGTTTGGTTCAATTTGTTTATATAATCCTTTCATTTCTTCTTTCAAAACATAATACCATGTTTGTTTACCATCTATTTTTCTTTGTTTCCTTTCACATTTATCCTTAATGCTCATTTGGAAATTCTTGTCTTTCATGTCTGATGGTTTGCAGAATAGAGCATTTTTACACGTCATACCTGCACACAATTCATCATAATGTGTATTTATCCATACATCTAAAGGATTTGTTGATAACTCGATTAAATCTTGTTTGGCTTCAGTCATCGGTATGATTCGTACATTAAATGATGAAAGGTCATATTGCATAAAATATGTTAAAAGGTTATCATAAAATTCCTTTGTGCATGAATCCATTAAATTCTTGAAGTAATCAAATTGACCCTTGAATTTACCATTAACTCTTAAAACTACGTATCTTCTGTCTCCAACTTCAATTTTGACAGGGTAGACGTTGTTAGTTACGAAAATGAAGTTTGCAACGTTCTGAGCAGTTCTTCTGGGTTGATTCTTTTCATTAATTCTTATCTCATTATCCGTTATAATTGATTTCAAAGCGTTGAAGTTTGCAAGTCTGTCTTCACCTACATTCTTGAGTTCATTAAGTACAAGAAACATTTTATTTTCAACTACTGAGTTGAAATTACCCGTTAGCTCACTTATTTCAGTAATGTTTTTACATGAATAACCGGCGAGAAGTTCAGAAATAATGTCTGTAAATCTGTTTTTACCTGTTCCCTGAAGTCCTTTCAAAATAATTGCTGTTTCATTCTTGATTCCAGGATGTTGAATCATTGATGCAATCCAGCCGAGAAGGTATTTATACACTTCATCGTTATTATCACAAATGGCTTCTTTAATGAAATCCATAAACATCTCAATTTTTGAGTAATCAGGCTTTTCAAGAATGTTGTATTTATAACCCTGAAACGTTGAGAAAACATCGGGGAATCAGATTTAAAGCAAACACCCTTAACGGTTAATGAAGACAATTGATTTAGTAGTACATCCCATGCTGTTATTGTTTTACCTTCTTCTTTAAATAATTTAATCATTTTGAGTGACTCTTTCATGTTTGATTGAAGAACGAATGATATTTGATTCATTTTGTCGTGGATATTATAGTCCTTTTGAATGAAGTATTTATTTCCACAATCTACAAAACGGATTACACGTGATAAATCCTCAATTACTTCAGAACTGTTTTTATACTGATGATTTTCAGCCTTGCGTCTAATATCTGTTATCAAAAACGAGTCATCAAGTTTGATATCAAATGTTATTTTTGGCTTACGTAATAAAGGTAAAACATATTCATCATAATATTCCTTTTGATAAAGTTTTAGAATCTTCACCAAAACAAATGGCGAAGTCATTAAATGTGCATATCTACTACGTGCTTTTTCAAAATTACTTTTTGCATTTTCAGTTAAGCTGCAGAAGTTATAAACGTTATCGTATGCTTCATTAATTAAATGATTAGGTAACGAATTAATTGCTTGAAACAGTGTGAATAATGTAACTTCTTTTTCTAAATTCATGTTTCCACCATCATTATGTACTTCAAAATCACAGATGCCATCGACTATGCTCTGGGCAAGTTTATCGTCAATGTTTACATCTTTGTTTTCATTCATTATACTCTTTATTTCTTCATTCTTCTGTTCAACTCTTACCTTAATATTCAAATCATTTAATATATCATTCACTGTTCTGGTTAATGTTGAATCATAACTTCCACGAATGAATGAGTATGTATTGATTGGTTCTGTTGCATTCTTTCGAACTCTTGAATCAGCCATAACCACTAATGAACGCTTTGAATCATCAATAGAAGTCATGATATCAATATCATAATCATTGCAGGAATAACATTTAATCATTCTGTTCGAGGTTGAATAGAAGAAATTAGTGTTGCAATAAATGTGAAGACCTCCTGATGCAGTTTTAACGATAACATCTTTATCCGAAAGTTTTGATAAAATGTCTTTTCTAACTGTTTCTTTAAGTTCATCATTGTACGATTTATTGATATCAACATCTATAATCGTTAAATTTGAAATTTTATTTACTAATAAAGCTGTACCAGTTTTCCTTCCTCTTCCTCCATCATGTTTGAGGTAGTTATGTAAATCAATCTTGTTTTCACCAATTCTTTCGTTGAGGGCTTTAGTTTCTGCCACAACTAATTCCTCAGCTAATGAATCAATAACTTTTTCATCAGAAATGATATAGTTGCTGTTGCTGTTGCTGTTGTTTGTTGCTGTCATTTATATAGGAATAAAAAAAATAAAAATAATTTTAAAACTAACTTTATTTTTGGACTGCATCAAATTTTCGTAAATGTTGTCAAAATGTCATGTTGTCACACTTTTTCAGAGAAGTTAAATGACCTGGTGACCACCTGGTGACCCGGTGACCTCATCAGTTATTCAAAAATAATTAATAACTGCCTTCCTCCTGTGCTGTTGTCAAAATGTCATGTTGTCACACTTTTTCAGAGAAGTTAAATTACCTGGTGACCACCTGGTGACCCGGTGACCTCATCAGTTATTCAAAAATAATTAATAACTGCCTTCCTCATTTCCCACTATGTTGTCAAAATGTCATGTTGTCACACTTTTTCAGAGAAGTTAAATTACCTGGTGACCACCTGGTGACCCGGTGACCTCATCAGTTATTCAAAAATAATTAATTATTGAATAACCCGAAACCATTAACATTAACATAAACATTAACGTAAACATATATTTCTGGTCGTTTATGATAAAAATAAATGGTTCATTTACTCACAATATTTTTGTACAGAATGACCCCAAACTTTTAACTTCTTTTCTGCAGCTTCAAATGCTATCTTAGCGAGTTCATATTCTCTAAATTCTCTCTTTAAATCTTCTTGTTCCCATTGGTCTAGTTCGTATGGAGAATCTCTATAACCATAACATATCTCACGTTCATGTTCTAATTGTTTTTCGCACATTTTTCCAACTTCTTCTTCAAACAAATGTTTAGCATTCTCTACTGTATCTTCGAGTTCTTCTTCATCTAATTTCTCATGAACTTTCTTGTCTATGGAATCCATAATATCTTTGACATAAAATGCATACTTTACAGAGCACCATTCAGCAACAAAATGAACGAGGTCAGGATGTATGTAAATACCTTTGAATTCATTTATAACGCCCTTAGCAAGCTCATAAAATGCTTGTTTTGAGGTTGAGCCACTTTTGGCTCCACCGTATTCTTTCAACCAAAACTCAAGAATTTCCTGCATTTTAGCACTATTGAGAAATCTGTTTAAATGGTTTAACTTTCCTGCTTCTCTTGCCATCTTTGTTGCATTAATGTAACCATCCTTGTCTCTACGTAAGACTTCAATACCATTATAAGTGCCTTTTGTGAATGTTTCGCCATTAGATTTGTTCGTGAATGTTTTTGCTTCGACTGACATTTCTGTTCTTACATACAAAATAAAAAAATAAATAAAAATAATTTTAAAACTAACTTTATTTTTGGACTGCATCATATTTCCAGGACTGTTGTCAAAATGTCATGTTGTCACACTTTTTCAGAGAAGTTAAATTACCTGGTGACCACCTGGTGACCCGGTGACCTCATCAGTTATTCAAAAATAATTAATAACTGCCTTCCTCATTTCCCACTATGTTGTCAAAATGTCATGTTGTCACACTTTTTCAGAGAAGTTAAATGACCTGGTGACCCGGTGACCTCATCAGTTATTCAAAAATAATTAATTATTGAATAACCTGAAAACATTAACATAAACATTAACATAAACATTAACGTAACCATTAACGTAAACATTAACGATAAAATATATTTCTGCAGTTCATCCATTACTTCATTACCTAATTAATTACAGACATAAAATATATTTAGTTCATTCAATAAATGCGGTAAGCCCGCAAAGCAGGCTCAAGCGCGTTCAATAAATGCGGTACCATGCGAATACAGTCATAAATGGTGGCATATAATCTTCACCCAAGCCTGTTGGATTTGTTGTGAAAGTATGGACATGATTTCCTCCTGGTTCAGTTGGTCGAAAAGTCTTTTTTGCCGAATGGTTATAATCTGGAGATAAAACGTCATTGCCAGCATAATATTCTGAGTTGTATAATGGGTGGTCTCTTAATGAGTGGCTATGGTCGCCAGAAAAGTTTGTAGTTCCTGTATGAGTGTGCGGTGGAAGGTTTGCTTCTTTAATTTTCTTCGAACCACCTGTTTCCTTTGAAGAGTTTGCACAATACAAAAACCTGTCAACTATTTGTTCCCATGCACCAACACCAAACATTACTTGAGGACCTCTTGCTTCCATAGATGTATAAATAGAACCTACTGGGTTCATTAAATCAAACATATGAGACATTATAGGATTGTCTCTTTTGAACTTAAAATATAGTGCAACTATTTCAGGTTTCTTCTGGTTTGTGTAAGAATATTTTTTATAATATAATCTTATGTTTTCAGGGTAGGTAAAATCTTGACTATAATATTTATTTCTGTCATCTATATAATAATATACTATTCTCGTTTTTTCTATTGCATTATATCTTTTATATCTATAATAATCTAAATATAATGTTTGCTTTTGTTCATCTGCATGTAGTGTTTCTTCGTCATCTACATAGTCATAATAATATGGTGCTGGAGCTGGGGCAGGCAATGTCATATCTGCCATTTCATAAACTCTTAAATATTTCTTTTGTTCGTCTCCATATAAGTTTAAGTAGCAGTTGTTGTCTAATGGAACTTTAACTTGTGTGTCATCATTCTTTTTATAACTTACATACATTTCATTGTTATTTTTCGGAATGAGTTTCCACCGTATACCATTTTTTAAGGAGTGTACAAACTACCATCTAAAATATTTATTTTCTTCATTGACAGAAAAGTCACCAACAATAGTTTCAATATTTTTTGTTGTTCCTATCAAACTTTGGTATATTTCGTTAACATATTCCTTATCTGCCTTCTTCTCTAACTCACTAGTCACATAAGTTTTATCTGCTTTAAGGTCTAAACATTCTGAAACCCATCCTGTATCAGCTTTAGTTTTTAAAATCTTTGATGTCCATTCATGATACCATTCAACCATTTCTTTAATTTCATTATCTTTTTCATTAACATATTCCTTATCTGCCTTCTTCATTAATTCACTAGCCACAAGTCCCTTATCTGCTTTCTTCTCTAACTCACTAACCACATATTCCTTATCTGCCTTCTTCATTAACTCACTGTTGACATATTCCTTATCTGCTTTCTTCATTATGTCATTTAGGAAACCTTTTATGAATTCCTCATTTAAATTAAATCTTCCAATCTTCAAAACTTTAGGAAATGCATTTAATGCGTAATATCTTTGTTCTTCTGGTGGAATTGATGTTATATCATCCGTTATACCTTTAATTTTTGAATTCATAAATAAAATTTCTTTTATATTTGATATCACTGCACCACCTTTGCAAACGAATTCGAAATGGTCATTTTTCAATACTATCTCCAAATCTCCATATTTCAACCTTTGCGTTTGTTCTGCCGTCTTTGAATTATATGCATATATGGCGTATGTAATGGTCTGTGCCTTAAGTTGCTGTGGTTGCTGTTGTTTAATCATTTATTACGATTTAAAAATAAATATTTAATCCGTTATCTCATCAGCTATTTTTTCTATTTGAATTGCCATAATATTTCATTCATAAATTCTAATCACAATCAAATAGGTCAGTTATTCTAAATTTAATATTTGATAAATCTTTTGAATGAAGAATAAATGAATTCCCGGATAATTGAAACGGATATGATAAAGAAAATGTGTTTAAGTTGATGGATAAAATGTTTTGTATTGATGGGTAAGAGTTAGGGTCTAATGTTTGATGTGAAAATCTCATTGGGGTATTAAACTTTATCACATTTGATTAAAATGAAATTGGAACCAGTGTCAGAATACAAAACATCCCCAACATCTTTTTCAAAATTTAATATCCCCAACAATGAACGAAGATGAGGAGTACAAAATTTAATTTTTCAGCGGGAATTTAATAAGGTTATTTATTTCATCAAGTTCAAAAAGTTTATCAGGTTTTGATTTAAAATTTTCTTCATACCATACGATAAATGATTCATTTAAATAACTTAAAATCATGTTAATATCCCATTTCGTGATCACATTATTTATATACATATCATACGTTTTTTCATGGTCATTTTTAATAAATGATATATAATCTGAAGGGTCTAAAAGAATGGATTAAATTTACCACTCACAGAAACGAGAGTAACATTATAAATTCCACTAAACTGTTAAATTTAATTCACAACTATTATTCGAAATAATATTGATAATTGACATTTTTATTACGATTAAAAATATGGTAAAGCGTTATTTTCCATGATAAATAAAACTAGAATAAGATTACCTCAAGAATTCATAAATTCAACGAATAAGAAATTCGTTCATGTTTAAATTTTAGTGTTTTCAGAAAATACGAGTCAATGTCATATTCATCATCGGGTTATATTTCACTTCATTCAAATTTAGTTCAAATCAAACCCATATAATGACCATTTCATAAGATTTTCAGATGGTATTAAAAATGTAATTGATAGATTAAAATATGAACAGATTGACAATATCGAATTTTTGGAATTTTGGTTTAAATATCCTGATGGAAAAAAAGATTGAAGTTAAAGATAAAGCTGATACTATAACAAAAACAATTACAATGACCGATCCGGATAGTGGGGAACAAAAAGAAATAAAACAAACGATAGAAACTGGTGAAAGGTCAATTATTATTGATTATGATTCAAAGGATTATTATTCGATAATGTTAATGCTTGAATATTAAATAGCCTTAACAAAGAATTTTTCAAGTGATATTTTATATTCATCAAACTTTTATTATAAATATCATTATATGTTAAATGAAGTTCAGTTGTTGTTCCGTTTCTTGATATCTTAATTGTGCTAATATCCTTTATAGGATTTATTTTTTGCAACTGTTCCGCAGCATGAAACCTCATCATCTATGAAAAATTGAATCTTAACGTCTGAATCTTGAACATCACAAAGAATGGCGATAAGTGAATTAATGATTCATAAGGTAAAATAATTAAACCGGATTGATCAATTAAATTTATTATTGAATCATAATTATCAGTTATTATATCACGGTAAATTTTCATTAATTCAGAATTAATGTCTATTTTATATGGCGCATTGCGACTGGAATCGTAGATTCCTGGGTTTCTCGATGTTTGATGAAAGAGGTGGGGGGTATGTTGGATAAGGGAATTTCAACAGGTTCTTTACCAGGTTCAGATAAAATGATTGGGTCTCCATTCTCCTCATTCTTCGGTAAGTCACGAGTTAATAAATTTGGTTGAGTTGCTGACCTTGTTAATTCAGGGCTAAACATTAACTTTAACATTTTGAATAATTCGTGATTTATCATCATTTACGTTATAACCAACCGTAATCTCTGCTTTTGCGTTTGTGTTCTTTTTGACTTGTGAAACGTCTTCTCATTTTATAATTGAATAAAAAAAGAAAAATATATTTAAAGTTTTATTTAGTTGTTACGGTAATATCCCAAGGTTCATCATTGTTTGCTTATACTTTCTTTGTAACTGCACCAATTATGTTATTGATATTGCTTTGAGTTTCTTCCAGTCTTATTTTATCATTTACAATATCTTTAATCATTTCATTACATGCATTCTTAAAACTATCTGATTTTTCTAATTTACGTCTATCACTTTCTTTAATTAAATCAAAGTTATAACCTTGTTGAGGATAAAGTGGTTTCTTTATCAATTCCTTGAACGCTTCTGAAAGTGAAGATGAAGAAATTCTTGCCACTTGAATTGGTTTAAATTCTGCTTTCATTGCTTCTTTCTGTTCATTGAACACTGGATCGAATAAAGCAACTTTAAAGAATTTCTTAGCTGGAATTTCAGGTCTCAAATTTGCATATTGACCATCAAACTGATTAACATATCGTGGTAATCCATCCGGTCCTTCTTCAATAGCGTTTAATTCTTCATTGAAATAAGAATATGGATTATGACGGTATGAATTAATTGGACCATGTTCACCTTCTCCAATGTATTGTTTAACAGCTTTTCCATTTTCATCAAATTGCATAGGATAACGTTCATTATATGCTTTACGTTAAGGATAATCAGATATAGTTAATTTATACCCATTTATGACTTTAATATTACCTTGACCATCAGTAACGAAAACTTCATTTATACCATCAGGTTAGTTAGTATACATATCTTGTGTACGGAGGCACTGCGAACCTCCTTACCCATGATATGTGAATTTGACACTTTACAAAACCGTTAACGTATATTTTACAACACAAACACAAACACCAACTTAACCTTAAATATTTATAAAGCCGCCAACCACTTCACCTCACTAACGTTTTCACAAACGACTTCACTACTGTAAAAATAAACGTTCTCATTTACAAAAGTATTGCAACTCTTCCCATTGCTGTGCTTCACACAATAGTTCATATTCTTCAGTATCGCTGCTGTCGCTCCAATCGTCAGAGTCAAAGTCACTGTCAAAATAAATGTTAGTAAGTTTTGACAAAGCTAATGAAACACGCTTACCGTTTGTATCGTATGCTTGTATAAACTTTCCATTCTTCATTCCTTCGTAAACGCTCAAACTAACTTTACCCTTTCTCCCTCGTATCTGATAGAATGTATTTTCACGAGGAACGAAGAACAAATTCTTGAACTCATGACCGTTGTAGTTTGTTATCTCAATAGTTTTCGTCATTTATATAAAAATAAAATATAAAAATAAACTTAAAATTAATGATATCACCACCCTCACACGTATGAAAACATAGCACAAAAATAAATTTAGGTGAAGTGGTGAGATCTCACCTCTTTTTTCACCTGTTTTTTCACCCACTTGAATTCATTGCTTTATAACTCTCTTCCTTTCTCCAACTCTTCTAACTTCTTCTTAAGTTCAGCAATGTTGTCCTCATGAAGTTTAATCTTCCTTAATATACCTTCTCTATCTAATGGTTGCTTTATCTTTCTAAACTGAACTCTACCATCCTTCATAGTATGAACGTAAAAACCTTCTGGAACCGCTCCTGATTTAATGTATTCTACCAAAAACTTTTGTTTCATTGCTTCAGTGACTTTAGTCGTCATTTCAATCAAATAAAAATTTTAATATTAAATAAAAATAACGTTATTTTTTCAGTAAGGAAACGCAGGAGTTTTACGATTTATTTGAGGAGTAGGTTCTGGTTTAAATGTTGGAGTCGGTTTAGGAGTTGACTTTTGAACAGGAGTTTGTACTTTCATAGGTTCAGGAGTCATTGAAGGTGTTGTTTGTGATGGTGTCGGAGTTTGTTTAACTTCAGCTACTTCAGTATTATTTACAACATTTGCTTTATTTCTTTTCAACATCATAACTGCTCCTGCTGTAGCTAGCAAACCTAGTGGGAGACCATATTTATATAAGGACTTGACCAAATGCTATTTTTGACAGGAGCTGGTGGAACACCTAACCTTGGTGAGACTGCTCTTTGCCATTGTGCAGCTCGTAAGAAATATTCAATAGGTGCTCCATAATCGTTTGGTAAAGTTTGTTTCATAGATGGTGAAGGTTCACGAGAGCTTGATGAAGAACTCATTTATAAGCTTTAAAAATAAACGTTCATCCTTTATTCCTCACTGTCGTCCGTGCTAAGTTATAGTCATCTAATCTTATTATTGGGATTCCATTAGCACGCACCTGAATGGCAAAGCAACAATCCCTCATAAATCCAATAAGTGGCTTTGGTACATTTTCAGTTGCTAGTTCAATAGGTCCTTTAACAGACAATTTGTATGTTATTGGAGCAGTAGATGTTTGACCTTGCTGGAAGCAAAAGTCCACTTCTGTTGGAAAACCACATAAGAAATGTGTGTTGTCATAGCTATCCCATTTATGTTCCACACTACCATCATCCACCAATGACCTCATAACATCTTCATTAAATCCTATCATATCATTGTTTGTATTGCAAGCGTTCGCAACCATTTCATAAAATACAGGTCCATATGATTTTTCAGGTTCTGCAGGCATATTTCCATAAGCTCCCATGGAAAGCTGAAGATATTTAAACTTAGGGTTCTCAAAATTAACATAATAGTTGTCTTTCTTTCTAAATAGTGCCCAAATACTTTTAACATTAATAGGCGTATAAGCTGCTGTAAATGTTGCACTTGAACTATCTGTATTCTTTGAGAATGAACCGTCCATAGGAATCCAATCCATAACTTTAACAGGAAAACATAAAGCCTCGTTTGTATAATGTTCTACAAGTTCTGTATAAATGTTAGGGTCTAAAGAGAATGACTTTGGATGAATGAAACATTCATTAAAATCCATCTTTGTTCGAAATAGTTGCTGGGTTACAGTTGTAATAGTAACTGTTCCACTAGCTTCTACTGCCTTCGTTATCATAGTGAATGGTTCATTCCATGGAACAAATTTATTTGTCGGTGGATTTGAATCTGAAGCAAATGCAACTTTAAGAGTTGGATTGAAAGCAATGATATCATTTACAGATATAGATGTGCATTGTAAGGCGTCGCTACTGAACTTTACTTTAAGCTGAATGTTTCCTGCAAAAGCTGGAATAAATCGAATAGCTTCTAATGGAAGGAATCTTCTAACAGGAATTCTTAAACGAAGCTTAAAATCAAATGATTTTCCTGCTGTAATTGGACCACTAACAATTTGTCCTGTTCTGCATGTTCCCGAATGACTCCATACATCTTCATGTCGAGTCTTTGAGAAAACATCTACTTTCTTTATTTGTTCGGTAGTTTGTGAGTTTGAAGTTATATATGCTTCTTCTCTTGCGTTGTCTTGAGAATATACGATACGACCATTTGCAAGGATTTGATATCCAGCAACTGCATAGAAAGCGTCATCGAAACCAATCCAAAATCCTGGTGGGTTTGTTTTATTGGAACCTGAACCAATTTCTTTATCTACAATAAATTGACCTTCCATTTTATACGTAATGAATGTATTGTAAAGGTCCAACATATTTTCACCAGGAGGTGAGAGATTGAATGTTACCCATGTGTTATCTTTAGCAGTTCCAGGTTGTGATGGAATCTTTGCGTCAGAATATTTTCTATTAGTGTCACCAATTTGAACTGCATTGTCTATGATATCGAAATATGAGCGAATCTGATGAATATGCTCTGCTGGAGTAAATTCGTTTAGCTGTTCGTTCTGCATGTATTTACTTCAGATAAAAATATCTATTTACTTCATTATTCTCACTCTTCTTCTTGGCATTCGTGGTGGAAGTTGTTTCTTGACATTTTCAATGAACTGTACATTCTCTTTTGTCTCAACTTCTTTCACTGGCGGGTCAGGGTTCTTTGACTCGGTTTGCTTTTCAATGAAATTCACGAACTTTGCAATAAGCTCTTGGTTCGTTATTGAAAGAACATCTGGCTTCTTTTCTTCTTGTTCTATTGACTTTTCAGTTTGAACAGAAGGTTTTATATGGGCTTCGTGGCTTCGCCCTTGCCATGCACCTTAATGTTGTCGCTCTCTGCATTCGCTAATGGAACCTTTCTTTTTCTTACATATATTTTACCATCTTTACTCTGACTTACATAATAGAAAGGATGTTGTATTCCTCTGGCGTCATTTAATATAATAGACTCTCGTTCTGATTTTGACAAGCTCATTTTACATCGGTTAAAGTTTTAATTTAGTTTTTTATCTACAGTCAAATGACTCAGACAAGCCCTACGGACAAGACCCAAGGGTCATAGATGTTGAAGCATTGAAGAAAGAAATTCGTGAGCAAATTTTATCCGAACTGAAGGAACAAAAACAAGAACAAAAGCCAGAGAGACCAAAGAGAAAACTTAGTGAAAAACAACTTGCTGCATTAGCTGCTGGAAGACAAAAGAACCCACGTTTGCTGGCAAAGAAAGCTAGAGAAGAAGCTGAAGCAAAAGCTAAAGAAGCTGAAGCAAAGAAAGAGTAAATGGTTTATTTTTATCCGAACTAAATGTATAGACAAATACCTTTATCTGTTGCGTTCAGTAGTGAAAACCCTGACGTCAAAATAAAGGGGAACAGAGTAACGTTTAAGTTTCCAACAGACTGGATTGTGAACATAAATGAAGAGAAGTACATTGGCATAACATCTATGTATATAACACGTGCTTTCAGAAAGGTTGACTTTATACTTCAAGTCGAGATAGAAAATGACGAACAGTCTTTAAGCGCCCAAAACATTCACATATACAAATACTTTAAAGACGATACAACATTGTTGCAATGTATGATTTCATTTAATGAGATGTTCGAGAAAAAGTTCAACATTGAAGTACAAACTTTACAGCCTTTACGTGAGTTTCTTGCACAACTGAAAGAAGAAGGTAGTCAGCCACAACTTATAGACTTTCATTATGAATTTAATGAAAATGAAGATGGAACTCATGACTGTCAATTCATTGTATTCTCACCATTCAATGAAGTCGCTAAAAGAAAAAAAATCCATTACGTATAAGATTTCAAATCTCCGAACCAAGTGATGATTTTAAGAATGTTTTCAATTATGATGCAATGCTTCCGAGGAAAAATGAATTTTCAAAGATTGTAACACCTGGCATTTGGGATAGAAAGCAAGCTATATTTATTCAAATAAGAAAGGAGTTGAAAATGAGTTCATTGGTCATACAAGAACTTCACCACTTCCTAACCCTAAATACTATAAATTAACTGGCTTCAATCGTGAGTTTTGGATAGACATGTTCTCCACTCATGACCATAAATGTCCAGTGTTCTTGCCTCCAGACCATAAGGACTGTCTCTACATTGAAGCACAACTCTTAAACTCTACCATCGCAGTATTGTAAAATCTACGCTAGCTTTATTTTTATCACGAATGACCTCATTCTGATAATGACCTCATTGCTGACAAAAATAAATGACCTCAGAACTTCAACTTACGAATAAAGCTTGTTTTAGTCGTTATTGAAAAGTTGAACTTTTCAGCAAAGCAAGGTTGACATGACTTACATAAGTCGAATGCAATCTCTTGACCATCATGAAGTGCTTTGTAAAGTTTCATTAAACTGAACTCAGAGTCTTTGTCATATGTTCCAACAGGTATGTGAATGTTCTTATCTTCATTGTAATAGCATTGTATAGCTTCAGGAAACATTTCATTAGCGGTTAAAGCAATAACATCTTGCTTCACGCCTTTCATTCTGCAGTGAAATGCAACTTCATTTAAATCATTCGTGAGTAAGTCTATGTAGGTCTTCTTTCCACAGAAAATACTTTTATAAGCTAAACTTTGTTTTCCAGGTGTTATTTCTGCAAAGTCGCTATGAAATTGACCAAGGTTCTTTCCTATAAGTTCGCGACCATATCTCTTCTTAAACTCTGCTGCAAGCTTTGGGATGTCTTCATTATATAAGTGCATACTGTCGGTATCCTGGTAAAAGATTTGAAGTCCCATGTCCTCTGCAGTACAGAATACTTCATTCATAATACGTTTTGACATAGACAGAATATTAACACCAAGTGGACAGAAGTTAAAGTGTCTGCAAATGCTTTTCGTTAGCTTGAAAATAGTTTTATCTGAACCATCCAAACCTTCGAACTTCACTATATGGTTGTAATTTCTTATAGCATATCTTATAGCATCTTTGTCATTTACTATGGTTATTTTTGACTCAATAGGAGATAGAATAGTTTTGCCATAAATGCTGTTCAGAATGAGTTTTATAATTTCTTGTAAGGGGTTTCCTTCTTTCTTATACTTTAACCTTAACTCAAACAACTTCTTTACTTCATCTCTTATTCTCATATCTCTGTTTCCATCGTAATAGTATCCTTGCAACACTTCACATTTGACACCTTGATATTTTATGAGGTCTTGTAATGTTATATGGTCAACATACATGAGACAGCAAGTGTTTGAACTTCTTGGAACGTTAAGTTCTGGATTTAGTTCAGGGTCGCAAACTATTAAATGAAAGTGTCTGGGTATACCAATCTCTGTTATCTTAATGAGAACAAAGAAGCCAGACATAAACTTTTCACCAATGGGTTCCTTTTGGTCATCATCGAATAAATGTCTCATGAGATACTCTGTGCTTAGCATCTCATCCTTCAATACTTTTGGAATTCCTTCTAAAGTATAAATCTTGCTATAGCTGAAGGATATAATGAAACAGTGTCGAAGTCAGCAATGAGTTTCTTTTTGCTCTTTTGTTTCATGTTATCTGACAACATACATCTTCCACCTTGAATGCATCTCGAAATAAATTCTCTTGGTTTATTTGAGAGGTCATAAAGATTTCCATTCGGGAAGTATACTCTGTTCTCAAACAATTTGTTAGCAATAGAACAAATACTAACGTAGTCATAAACGTTTAAATCAAACTCTTTCAATAAGTCATTGCGGAACTTTACAAAACCTTCTCTTAAAATTCTTACATCTTGTTTGCAGTAAAACGTGCTATATTTTTCTAAGTCGAAGTGGTTTTCATCTATTCTGCAACCTTTGATGGAATCTATGTTCTTCATAAATGTATCTGCATCATGGATAAACTTACATGCTTCAGAAATGACACCAGTTCTGTTGTCATTTGCTAACAAAACACTGCTGTAGTAGTTATATGGAAATACTTCTTTCGGTCCTGTTTGTAAGTTAAACATAGCAGGAAATAGTTTAAGCTTCTTATTTATAACACTGTAAGAGTCTTTTATAATAATTGCCCGTCCTTTATATAAGCCAGTTATTTGCATTGTTCGTGAACCTTTAATGATGGGAGTTCCTTTCACTTCTGTCATGTGTCTTAAGATGAAGTTTATGTCATAACTGAGGTTGTGAAATATATTAAACTCTTGTCAGGAAGTCTTTCCAAAAATTCTGTTGCACAGTTTTGACCCCAAATGCTTTCACTAACTGAACCATCTTCACTGTCATAACAGATGTTAAAAGCTTTATGAAAGCCATCCGTACTACACTCAAAGTCAGCAAAGAAAACGTGCTCAGGTATGAATTTACATTTAGCTTTATTTACTTCTTTTGACTCTGCTTTCTTCTTCAGTTGTACACAATACTTTGGAGCATATGTCAAATCTTTAAATGGTGCAAGGTTCTGTTTATATAAGTCAGTAGTATATGTGAAAAGTTCTCCATAAGAAATAGGTTCGAAATATTTGCACTCCCACAATGTTTTCATAACATCCCATAACGGTGTTGTTCTATCATAACGAACTACATATTTATCTTCTCTCTTTGTATAAATCTTCATCTGTTTCTCAATGTTCATTCCACCACAAGCTTTGAGAATTTCTTTATAGTTTCGAATGAAGTATGTTGTCATTGGTAATCTTTCATTTAGCATGTAGTGGTCTTCAACAAGAAGTAAGTCAATAGTTCTAACAGTTTCGCATTCTTTTGGTATATATCTCTTTATTTCATTATGTCTTGAGTCATTGAAATAACCAATGGTAACATTAAATGATATACCTGTTGCGTCAGAAATTTCTTGTACTTTACTTTGAGGAAAGTCTCTAACACGAATGACTTCTCTCATGTGGTCAATAGTTTCTTCATTTACTCCAGCCTGAATGCAAGCATAAACGAAACAATTGTCCTCTGTCATAAGTGTTGCAGTTCTTTTGTTCAGTTCATTGAAGATTTGGTAGCGTTCAAGATTTATAGGTAATGTGCAAAGATACTTCCAGAACTGACCGCTTCTCTTCTTATAAAACTTCTTTTCACCATTATCTTTCCAAAAGCTTTCTATAAGTGCTGGGTTTCCTGTTTGCTTAAGAGCTTCCAAAATGGCTTTCTGGTCATTTGTCAGTGTGCTTTCATCTCTATATGGTCTCTTTTTTGGTTTGCCTTTCTTTACATCTGACATCGTTAAGCCTTCATATTCTGTTAAATCATACATCTTTATTTCGGTAAGATTCTTTATGTTTGTCAAGAAGAAGTCATAGTGCATTTCAACAATACCTGCAGCATTTGCTTCTATCTCTGATATAAAGTTCTCCTTCAAGAGCTGATGTAGTAATGTTCCAATATTATTGAGGTTTAACGTAGAACATTCATACTTTCCACCAAGTTTATAACATACCATCCATCTCTGTTGGGAGTTTATTTTAATTTTCTCTAAGAGTCTCATGAAAACCTTACCGAAATGTTTGTGTAAGTAGTCTCTGTTTGGTTCATCTAAAGCTTCGATGTTAAAGTCAATGAGTCTATTGCCTGACTTCACATTTCTCTTCCTATTCTCTTCATCTTTCTTTAACCATCTCTCACCTTCTTTTGGTTTGTCGTCAATGGAACGAATGACATCGTTAGCTTTGCGAACTTGTTCTATAGCACTTTTAAACATCTCTCTTCTCTGTTGTTTCAGTGTGTCATCTCTCTTTCGTGTTTCACCAACGTTTGCATTTGTTATGTCAAACATTTCTCTTCTTACTTCATGTGGTACAGCTCTTCTTGTTTCACCAACGTTTGCATTTGTTATGTCAAACATTTCTCTTCTTACTTCATGAGGTACTGAACGTCTATGATATAAGTCAATAGCAATGTCATTTAAAGGAAATGCTCTTGCATGGACTTCGTCCTCGCCGCGTTGCGGCTTTATGAACTCATGAATTCTATCATAACTTATTGCACCATTATAGTCATTGAGGATGTCAGCGAGTGCTTTTTTGTTTGTTGCGTAATGCTTTGCAACATCTATATTAGCTTCTGTAAGAAGTTGTTTTATTTCCGAGTGTTCTAACTTAGACAACTTCCGATACATCTTTAGTAGGAAATAAAAAAATATTTTTTGAAAAAATAAACTTAGAAAAATTATTTCTTTCTATATTTGCCATTCCGAACTTCGAAAAGATGTTTTATACCAGCATAGAATTTTTCTCTAGAGCTTGGTCTTATATTGTTTTCATGACAATATTTTCTATATTCTTCATATAAAGCCTTTTTTTCATACATTTCATAAGGACAATCTAACCAGAATAGTGCATATCCAGTTTCGTTATCTAGGTCTCTATATGTTTCTTCTGTTTGTAGAATTTCGCTTTCTTCTATTTGTAGAATTTCGCTTTCTCTATTTAGTTCTATGACTATATATTGTGGCTTAAAAAGATGTGGGCAAGAAGGGTCTGGCGCTATGTAAAAAGTTAATTTTTCTGTCATCTTTTCTATCGGATAAAAAATATTTTTTGAAAAATTAGATTACATTTTTTTAAGTTATTTTTCAAAATAATTTAATATTTTTATTTTAATGAAACACATGCAAGATTGCAAGTTCTTTTCATACAATGCTCTCGCTACTGCCATCAAGAATGAGTTCAATGGTTCTGCAAACGTTAATGTTATCTTTAACAAGAAGTTTGTGAAAGAATCTAAGTTTGGTCAGTATGTCAGACCATTAGCTATCGTCATTGACCGCAAACGTTATACTTCACAAGAGTTAGCAGTAGTTTTGAAACAAAAGGGTTTCTTCGTGAATGTCAAAGATACACTATACTGTCATAAAGAACTCTAACGTTGACTTCTTCAGTATTGCTTTAAATCTTTCCGAACAGAAAGAATATAAGAAGGGTGAAATAAATGTGAAATATTATCCTTCATCTCTGAAGACAATAACGAACAAAGATGTTATACAAAAGTTCTTACCAAAGGTTGAAGAAGCTTCTATTGACATTGACGAAGGAAGTGAAATGGTTGAAGAAATTGACCCTGAAGCTATTTAACCAAAAATATATTTTTGGTGAAGAGGTGAGATTTCACCTGTTTTTTCACCTCATTCTCTCTTCGTTAATGTTGTCGTGACTTCTTCGTTAATGTTGTCGTGACTTCATTCTTCCTCTTTGAAGTTATCGAAATATTCTGTTATTTTTTCCTTCAGTAATGGTAAGTCTTCTTTGAAGGTAAGTATTGTGCAACCTTTGATGTCATAGTGTGTTTGAGGAAGAGTATTTTTGACAATTTCTTTTATTTGCTCATTCGGTGTCATTGAAATCGGTAAGTTTTCACGATAGAACCAGTTTCTGTCAGATTTGTAAATCTTAGCAAGGTCATAAAAGCTCTTGTTGTTTCTTCTGACTAAATGCAACATAACCATATCTTTATCTTCTTCTTTCTCCAACTCTTCAGTATATATCATATACTTATAACTCTTTTCCTTTCCTTTTGGTACTGAACGTGGTATTCTTTTCTGTATGCTTTTGTCTTTGGATTCAATGACTTCATCTTTTGCTTGAAGTTTCTTTTCCATCTCTCCACGTTCTGCTTTATATAGTTCATCTAACATCATGAAAATATAACAAGCATAACGAGGTGAAGCCCACATTGCTACAGCATTTACTAAAAGTCTATGAACATAATAACCTTTCAAACCAGGTGCCAAATTCTTGCGATTTTCGTACGGAATCTCTTCCCTCGGTTTTCCGAGGGAAGCAATCATATGAGGAAATTCTTCTAAAAGTTCTTTTGCCTGTTGGTTTTCAAACCAATGATATGCTTGCTTTGTAGAACGAAGAGCGTTCATTATACTTTGCATTTGATACATATCATCTTTGACTGAACGAATGAGTCTCAATTGTTTGTTATACTGTATGTATTCGTATTCTTCATTTATGGCTTCATGAACGATAGCAGTTGTTGTGTTCTCTAATGTTGACATATCTGTCTTTACATTCCGGATAAAAAAAATAAATAAAAATAAAACTAACTTTATTTTTCTGTGTTAAACACTATTTCTTCACAACATTAAATTTTATCCTGTATGAAATGACTTTAAAAAGATTATTGACTGACTTCGAATACTATCTCATTGACGCACTGACAGACCCTCAAAACTGTGTTGAAAGTTCTTTAAGCTTTAAGATTGAAGGTACGACGCATTTTGTCTTCACTTACGTATTGAAAGAATATGACCGTTATCATAACGAAGTGAATCAAACACTAATAAAATTTGTAGATAAAAAATTGGTTAACAATGAATATTTTAAACGTGAAGACCCAAACACTGCTGGAGATGATGAAGAATACAGACAAGTTATTGAAAAAAATAACGCAAGATTAGATGCAATAGAAAAGAAGTTTAATGAATGTCTTACAAACACGTATGAATATCTTATGCAGTGGGAAGCCAGATGGAAATAAATTTACGTCAAATATGCAATTTATAAAATCTTATGTCGACAGGCTACGTAGCACAGTGGTCTAAGGTGGTGTTATGGAGGGGTCAGGGTCTGTGGTTCGAACCGCGACAGCGCCGTATTTTCTTATTTTCTTTATTTGTCTTGTTTGTCGTGAATAAAAAGTGTCATAAAAGTGCTCTATCTTCCACGGGAATAAATAAAAAATTTACTTTATTTCTTCTTTATTTCTTTGTTCCCGTGGAAGAAGGGTTTTTGCCGTTTTTTCTCAGCCGAAATCAACGATTTTTTCATTTTTGGAATCCTTAGCGAATGAGGAATCTTTTCTCTCGTGGAAGCTTTGACCTAAAATATAATTTAGGTGAAGAGGTGAGATCTCACCTCTTTTTTCACCTCTTTTTTCACCCCAGTTTTTCACAAGCGTTTTACATGAATTGTACGATGTATATTTGAAATCCTAAACAATTTCGTAGCTTCTATTTCTTCTGTCAGTATGTCAAAAGTTTTAACAATACCGAAGGTTTCTTTATACTTCTTCTTGACGTCAGATAGAAGGAAATCTTCTGCTGTTGGATAGTTTTTGTTCAGAAATTCTAACATGTTCATTTTATCTTCTGCTGGCTTTTCTGCTTCTTTCTTTAAGTCTGCATAGTCGTTTCGCATTCTTTCTATCTCTTTGACGGAGTAGTTATATTTCCTTATTCCTGCTTTACATTTTGAACATTGCGGGTTCATTTTTGCATTATACATTGAAACCTTACCTGCTAGAACAACTAAAGCGTCAATTGCTCTCTTCATCTCAAACATAGCGGGTCTTAGTTGTTCGTTCCATACTTTGCCTCTTCTATCTTTATCTCTTATTTCCCAAACACATTCAGCAACTAACGAAACAAAGTTGTCGTAGGTCTTAAATTCTTCAGATTTATATATGTCAGAAACATTCTTATATACCATATCGCAATCTTTGTCCATAACTTTATGGTTGCAATGAAAACCAAGGAATTCATAATTTACTTTACGTATGAACTTCTTTATTTCTACTGAGTCAGTTGCTTTGACTTCAATTTCGTCGAATTCAGGAATAGTTAGTTTTTGATGCTGAATTTCAGGTAGTTTAGGTAAATGGTCAATAATGTCCTGCATTTCATAAAGATACTGTTCATTTGTTTCATCTTTCGCACTACAGTCTAAATTATTTGTTAAAAGTTCTTGCTTTATCTTCTGGATTTTTGTTTCGAAAGTAAATGAAGAAGGAATGAAGCTTTTCATCTCTACTAACATAGATGTGGGATTCATGACTAACGAGTTTGGTGAAGTTGTTGTGGACAGAGTCCCGCCGTTCGCGGCTTGAATTGTTGTTGTGCCGATTGTTGAAATCATATCTTTTATACAAAATAAAAAATAAATAAAAATAAAACTAACTTTATTTTTTCTATCTTAAGGAAATTCACGAAAATTCAAGAGGTGAAAAAACAGGTGAGAAAACAGGTGAGATCTCACCTCTTCACCTATAATATATTTTTTGGTGAATTCAATAAAAATAAATGGTTCATTTACTCACAATATTTTTGTACAAAACGACCCCAAACTTTTAACTTCTTTTCTGCAGCTTCAAATGCTATCTTAGCGAGTTCATATTCTCTAAATTCTCTCTTTAAATCTTCTTGTTCCCATTGTCTAGTTCGTATGAGAATCTCTATAACCATAATATATCTCACGTTCATGTTCTAATTGTTTTTCACACATTTTTCCAACTTCTTCTTCGAACAAAGGTTTAGCATTCTCCACTGTATCTTCGAGTTCTTCTTCATCTAACTTCTCATGAACTTTCTTGTCTATGGAGTCCATAATATCTTTGACATAAAATGCATACTTTACAGAGCACCATTCAGCAACAAAATGAACGAGGTCAGCATGTATGTAAATACCTTTGAATTCATTCATAACGCCTTAGTAAGCTCATAAAATGCTTGTTTTGAGGTTGAGCCACTTTTGGCTCGACCGTATTCTTTCAACCAAAACTCAAGAATTTCCTGCATTTTAGCACTATTGAGAAATCTGTTTAAATGGTTTAACTTTCCTGCTTCTCTCGCCATCTTTGTTGCATTAATGTAACCATCCTTGTCTCTACGTAAGACTTCAATACCATTATAAGTGCCTTTTGTGAATGTTTCACCATTAGATTTGTTCGTGAATGTTTTTGCTTCGACTGACATTTCTGTTCTTACATACAAAATAAAAAATAAATAAAAATAAAACTAACTTTATTTTTTCTATCTTAAGGAAATTCACGAAAATTCAAGAGGTGAAAAAACAGGTGAGAAAACAGGTGAAATCTCACCTCTTCACCTAAATTATATTT